CACTAGTTGAAACACGTATTTGGGGGAAATTAGATTTTTGCATACATGAACGTTAGCAATATAATATTTTTTATGGAAATTAATGGACGAGAAACCATAAAATTCATATTTTTAAGATTTGTAAATGTCTTATTTTATTTTTATATCGGTTATATTTCAATTTCCTGATTTTTTTTTTTAATTTTTTTTTATTAATTGTAAACATTAAATGACTACAGTATTTTGTAAGACTTGGATTTCAGGTAGTTTTAGTCATTGTGATGCGTCTTGATCATTTTGAAAAGCGCTAAATAATCTGTATTATTAGATTACCTTGCAATTAAGTACTGTATTCTTGAAGTGGGGAGTCAGTATGTCAAGAAAAGGGCTCCTACAGGGGTAAGTCCCTTATTTTTTTTTCTCATTCTTCACTGCGCCACCAATGAGCAAATAAATTTAGAGATGGAATCCAAAAAAAAAAAAAAATTGAGTATGGGACAATTAAATTATGTATGGTATGCACTAGAAAGTGAGTAACCCAAAATTAGGGCATGGAACCTAGGCTATATATAATACTACAGAGCCAGTAATTCCTATGGAAACATATTTATAATTCAGTAGTAGTTGTTGCAAGTTTACTCATAAAATTTCTGCACAAATTGTGACTGTAGGCCTATTAATTATTCATGTGCCTTTTTCCCAAAAAAAGTAAGTTGTAAAATAGGGCTGGGGATAGAGACGAGCCCCAACCTTAAAATGTCTCAATTTAACAATAAGAGGTTAAATCTCGAAATATGATTATAAAGGATTGTCTTCGGTACAAGTCAAGATTTAACGTGGCTTCCCGTGTTTGGTATACGAACAGATGTCGGCTTTCAAGTCAAAAAATCATTCAACCTCAAACTCAACACATTGACGTAATATTGTATTTACACAAAATACATACAATTTCTTTCTATTATTCTAAAATTGTTTTGAGATTTATTCAGATTTGTTTGGCAGAGAGTACACCTTTAATATTGATCAAATTCGAAATCGCAGCATGGCCATGAAACCACTAAAATTCAGAACCGACGTGTTTTTTTGTTTTTGTTTTTTTGTTTTTAGTTTGCTTGCTTATTAGGTTCTTTGAAACCTGCTTTCCATAAAAATTGCTACAAGCTGTCGCCAACAGCTTTGGTGGTGCTGATTGGTCAGTTCAATCAGGGAGCGTTCCAGATTGCGTCGTAGACAGCTACTCAGTGCAAGGATTGCAGTGAAAACGCGACTATGGAAACCAGGCTTAAAGGCCTGTTTACACTTCAACGATAAAAATGCTAAAAAGCGATTGTTCATATAGAAAACAAAAGAAATAAGAGAAGTTTTTACACTAGGACGAATCTATAACGATTTATCGTGTATGCAATAACAAATTATTTTAACAAATCAAATCAGATGACGTCATAATCATGGATAAACGATAAAATCGTTGCTACTACAACGATATTAATGTTTTTCCATGATTATGACGTCATCTGATTTGATTTGTCAAAATATGTTGTCATCGCATAACTGATCAAATGTTATCGAATCGTTCTAGTATAAAAACTTATTTCTTTTATTTTCTATATGAATTATTGCTTTTTAGCTTTTTTATCGTTATCGTTGAAGTATAAACAGACCTTAAGTATGTCACACACACCTATTCCCACACGCATTTACCAAGTCCATTACAATGTTATCTATGCTGCATTGCTGTGGCACATAGGAGCCAAAAACGATTGGTTTTCAATCTGTCTCTCACTGGAAGTCTACCAATTATGTAAAAACACAGAAAGTAAACGACAACACAACAGAAATTGCTATTAACAAGCAAAATACATATATTTGTCATCATAATTGATCACAAAGGAACTAATTAAAAGCTGCTACTATCTACTCTAATAATACTTTATATTTTTTTCTAATTTAAACATCATCTTCATAAAAGGAATAAGAATTCCATGAACTTCAACAATACAAAGAACTTTTGTATATTATATATATATATATATATATTCTTACAGCATGTGTACCATAAATTTTAAAAACCCCTTAAAAAGCAGGAGAGGGTTTCAGTATGGAGGGGCGGTAAGTAAACTTATTACTCATGCCTCGCATGTCAGTCAGTGCAAGAGACTTAATGCAAATATAATGAAGTAGTAACATTCCAAAGGGGTTGGCAGAGTGTGTACCAGTGTATATCATGTGAATGTCCAGGGTAATTATACCAATATTTTTTATATTTTTTTTCTCATTTGCTTTTGTTAGAGGTGCAGTGTATAGGGGCAATTACAAATTACCATTACTAATAGTGCACAATCATAGACAGTGCAATAGTCAACTCTTGCACAAAAGGCAGCTCCCTTTGTAGAAATATACCCTATGAGGGCGCTGTTTTAAATGATAATGTATTATGAGTTGTATGAGATGACACCACTAATATACTAGATCATAGCCTCTTAGTTGTGTTACACCTATCAACCGGAACTGCCAAAAACCACAAAAGTACAACAGTTAGAAATTGCTATTAACAAGCAAAATACATATATTTGTCATCATAATTGATCACAAAGGAACTAATTAAAAGCTGCTACTATCTACTCTAATAATACTTTATATTTTTTTCTAATTTAAACATCATCTTCATAAAAGGAATAAGAATTCCATGAACTTCAACAATACAAAGAACTTTTGTATATTATATATATATATATATATTCTTACAGCATGTGTACCATAAATTTTAAAAACCCCTTAAAAAGCAGGAGAGGGTTTCAGTATGGAGGGGCGGTAAGTAAACTTATTACTTATGCCTCGCATGTCAGTCAGTGCAAGAGACTTAATGCAAATATAATGAAGTAGTAACAAAGGGGTTGGCAGTGTGTGTGCCAGTGTACATCATGTGAATGTCCAGGGTAATTATACCAATATTTTTTATATTTTTCCTCATTTACTTTTGTTAGAGGTGCAGTGGGCAATGTGCACATGCAATATACCATTACAAATTACCATGTGCACAATCATAGACAGTGCAGTAGTCAACCCTTGCAAAATACCACTCAATAAGGCAGCTCCCTTTGCAGAAATATACCATATGAGGGCGCTGTTTTAAATGATAATGTATTATGAGTTGTATGAGATGACAACCACCAAAATATTAGATCATAGCCTCTTAGTTGTGTTACACCTAGCAACCGGAACTGCCAACAGTTCATTTCATTATGTACATTAAACAGATTATTTGAATGAAAATTGTAACTTCAAATGACAATGTACTGTACTATAATATACTGTACTGAAATTCCAATAAAACTTTTACCAAACATTTTACATTCATTAAATCACTATAATGATAAACCTATTTTCACAATTATATAATTACTGTATGAGCTATAACAATTTTTTGGCATAATAAAATGAATTTATATTTGTTATTCTTTTAAAATCAATGGTTGAAATCTACATTTCAGATGGAATACCTTCTATTCGTACAACAGGCTAATCCATAAAGGATATATATCGCATACACTGCTACTAAGGAGTTTTTGATTGTGACGTAAACCTACAATGAATTTACTCATCCGTGACTGCCGTGTGTTCTCTGAACAACAGAGATCCAACCTAATTATGTCCTGGGGCGGATTACTATAAGCAGTATTTAGATAGTCTTGTTAGCCGGCTATATTCGTGATGTCACTATTGGTCTATCAGTTAGCCGTCTTAAATTTTAAAGCCTACTCGGAGGAGGCTTAATACTGTTTTAAATAATTGTCATCATAGCGTTCTGCTGATTAATTCAACAGTGCAATGGCAAGACATAGGCCTAGATCGTCGAACTCGGAGAATCGTACGACAAATATTCCGCACGCTTCTCAGCGTCTGTAACATAGGTCTAAGTTTATTTACGTTCATTTGGATACATTTGCCTGTGTCGAGCACACATTACGTCGCTCTCAATCTTACGTTGCCATGGAGTGCTTGTTTGCATTTCAGTACTTAAAGTGGTCTTAGGGAAGACCGTTTTATAGCAATGGTCTTAGAGGAATGATTTTAGTAAGACCGCCTAAATGATAAAGCCGTCTTTATGTCCTGGAATTCAGATAACCTAGTCTTCGCATATGAACATGTGCTTTTTGAGACATAATCACGTTTTAGATCCTACCTACTGTCATGCAATCAAAAACTCCCTAATATAAATCACCTTCCACAGACACAGTAAACACATGCGTTAACGCATGTCTCAAAACGTGTTGTGAACACAGATGCATGTATCAAGGTACACATATTTAATATTGCAAATTATGTTTGAAAAAAAAACATGATTTAAATTATCTGAATGAATTCACAAGTAATAATTAAAAGTTAAAATTCATAGAATTAAAGAAATTAAAAAAAAATATACATTTTTTTTTACTATAATAGTTTGTAGTCCAAATTACGATATATGCAGGCTAAGGCCCTGTTCAGATAATCAAATTTTATTTGACAAAAACATGTGACATGCCTAAATATGGTCATGATGACATCACATCATGACCATATATAGGCACATCATGACTATATATGGGCATACAATACAAAGGGTTTTTTTATCAAAGCAAATTTCAGTGTTTATTTGAGAAAATCATGTGACATGCCGAAATATGTTCATGATGACATCACATCACGACCATATATAGACACATCATGACTATATATGGATATCCAACAGTTTTTTGTCAAAGAAAATTTGATTGTGTGGACAGAGGTTAATAGAAGAAAGATTAAGCTATGATATGTTGAGCCGACTAGTGGGCTTCATATCTTCAGCCAAGAGCACCATCTACCTTCATGATCAAGAAGAACAGCCGGATGCTTTAAGTACAGTAGTTTGACCAGGGGATGTTGTCATCTTCGACAGAGGGGTGATGCTCAATTGACACAAGGACATTACTGATAAGGATTGCCATAAGTACTACCATAAGGATTGCCGTATGCACTTCCAGGCACTCCTCCTGTTGAATAAACAGATATTCATGAATATATCCTAGAAGGTTGGCTGATATCTAGGTGCCCTAACCATAAAGAAACAATCTGATGATTTATGAGGGTTAAAGGTTAAGAAAAAAGACTCTGTGGATGCTACATCTCCACTATACTTGCGATCATACACCGCATTTGATTTTTTAAATCTGACCCAACATTGTCAAGTCTGACCTGAATCCACACTATCACATTCCATGTCACAAATATCTACGATAGGCCGATATATGGGTACGACATAATCATGATAAAAAAAGTTTGAGATATGACATTTCATGTCCATATATGGGCAATTCAAACAAATTGGTCACATGAAACTTGATAGTATCAATAAGCCTCAAAATTGTATTTCGACAGATTCAATTCTTAAGCAACAATTCATCTTTTTGCTGACATCACCAACAGTAATAAATAGCTCAGTGTATGTCACAAAAACATGCTTAACATTCAACAAACAATTTTTGCAGTATCTCTTTTAAACATTATAAAGTCTAATTAGATAAGTTTTTTAAAATTAAATAATAAGTACAACTTTTACAAAATAACAAGGACGTAGGCCTTTAGGTGGTGTCCATTCAAACATCCTACTAATCGAGTTCTATTTGTAATGTAGCACCATACAAATGACTGGTTAAAAGCAACATTATGCCTTGCAATTACTACAAGCTACACCTAGGCATAGATTAAAATGTTACAAATAGCATGACAGGACCTTGACAGGTAAAAGTGAACGCAAGCAACTAACTCGTAAGTCGCAGCATCATTGTACTTAATCAACCTTTTTCGCCATACACCACCCCTTGGACATTGTTGTTAAGGTTCCACAAAATAATAGCATAGATGTATGAAAGCATGTGCATTTGTGGAACAGCGCGTGTTTATTGGACACGTCTTCCTGGCACTGTTGTGATTGGTACGGGCATGGTCAGTGACCACTCTATCCGCCCATGATACATGCAGTAGTTGCTACGATGGGTGCCCGGGCAGAATGCACTGGATTGACTAGAGCCTGATGTGTACCCTGGGCCTCCCGTTTTGAGTACCTATTCAAGACTAAACATAAAGCTTCGTTTCCATGAAATCACTACAAGCTATCGTTGATAGTTGTAGGTGTCGCTGAATGGTTGGTCTTATTAGAGACAGCTACGCAGTGTATCGATTGCAGCAAAAACACTGTAACAAAAATGTAGTAATTTTATGGAAACCACGCTCTAGATAGTAGGGTCTGCAACGCATGCAACTCTTAAACCTATACGAAAGGCAGATGCAGCGAGCATCACATTAGCTACTGTAACTTTCTCTGTAGGCCGAAAATGTAAGCCTGCAGGACTGTATTCTTCAGCTGAAATATGTGGAAGGAAAATCATAACATTCACAGCTTACCGTATTCTATGGAATTGAAGTTGAAGTTGTTTCGATGAAGCTGACCTTTTGTACAGGTGGACCCTGTGCAGAATGTATTACAAACGCATCTTTAAGTGCTTTCATAACCATTTAGTTCCGTTCCTTTACTATGAGGGAAGTGGTATAACAAATTAATAGGCATTACCCCCACCCCACCCCTCATAAAAAAGATTAGGAATGAAAACAAACTAAATATTTCTGTGGGTCCGAGTGGACCACTCAGAAAAGGTCTAGGCCATTCTTTCTGGTCAGATCTAAGATCTGCTGAGCTTCCCGGTCCAATACCTTTCCCACTGCTTCTGCCGCGAGCCATAGCATATTCGGCCTCTCAATCCGCTCACCCGTGGACCGATAATGAGGCCCATCAGACTCAATAAGTAGCCGTCTGTCGTTTAGTGCACCTATGTGCTTGCACGCTTCTTTCTGCTTCCTGTTGAATCCAACAACACTCATAGAAAAGCCAAAGTACGTCCCCGGGAAGTACTTTTGATACTCGTCCACAACTTCTATTGTGGATGTGAAACAATGCAGAAGTAGTCGTTGGTCTGCAGGTATGCGTGCTAGACGAAGGATATAAAGTGCACGCAAGTAGCACTCTTCGGCTGTAACATCGTCATGCATACCCCGAATGTGCAGGCAGAGGACGCGGTGCAGCTGTGGGGAGTAACACTGACTTAGCACTCTCATCAACAAGTGGTCTTGTTGAGGCCAGTCTGATGGGGGCATACTGTGATCCAAACCTATTGGGCCAAGGACTTTGAATTGGGGAAATTCTGTCAATTCAATCAACCTTGAAAACTGAAGGTGTGACACATCCTGTGCCGGATTAATTCCAACCCCTATTTCGTAACCATCCTCTCGAAGACGGCATACCTCGTTGTAAATGGAGTAGTTCGGAGGGTCGCTGAAGATAGCTATACCTCCCACAACTCTAACACGACGCGATTCTAGCTGGAAATTCTCTGCCTCTCTCATATCATTCAAACACTCTCCAAGGCTCAACCTGAGGTCCTGACGCAGACGGTTGAGGTTGAAATGAGAATCGTACGCATTTGTTGCCACCCTTAGCAAGGCTCCCAGATTCGTGGGCTCCTGGCGAGGAGGCAACTGCGCTGCAGTTGGTTTTAACTGCTGTACTGACTGCTGCCCATTCTTGAGCTGCAGAGGCGCTTCCAGCATAGCTGGGTGATTTTGCACAGCTCCCAGGTTTGTGGGTTCCTGCCGAGGATACGATTGAGTTGCAGTTTGTTGCAATTGCTGTGCCGACTTTCGCTTCCTCCTCTTCTTTTTTTTTGACTTGGGTGGCTCTACTGATAATGACGTACCTGGATGCCTTCTTTTCTTTTGATCTTGAGACAACACTGGCACAGCTAACTCTGCTCGATCAACAATCCTATTGAGAATCCGTCTATCAATGCGGTGTGCTATGGCAACGAAACAACGCCAATGTATGAGAGCCGCCGGGTGACTAATGGGGTTCACTGAAAAACCACCCGTTGGTATGCCACCAATAACTTCACGCAGCTTATGCATGGCACTGAGAGTCCTAACATCGATCGACCACACTACTCCTTGTTCACCGGTTGCCTTCTCCCGATTTAAACGACTGACCACATCAAAAGGCGTAGCTGTCTCGCCTACCATTTCCTTTGCAATGCCCTCCAATACTTTCAATTGAATCAAAGCTCGCCGTGTGGTGGGACGAGACTTAGTTTTAAAGCAAACTGGGGCGTGTTTAGACATCATATGCACCCTCATATTTTTAACAGTACCAAGGTCACACCCTGGATACAGGCAAGGATTTCTTGATAACTGAGGTAACTCCTCCTCTTCATCAGACGGACTTGACGAAATGGGGGAGTCGATGAAGGGAACAGCCTCTGGAGCTGACCAAACATCCACTATCTCCAGTTCCTCCTTCTCTGCAGAAAGAGGAACCCATTTCCCATCTACCAGCTTTTCTCTCAACCGGATATCCGTACGTACTTGCACTTCACACAAGTCCATATCTGCAAAACAAAAACAGACCAATTTCAAATGACAGGTACCCTATGAGGGTACATGGCACCAGATGACACTGGTACAAGCACCTTGTCCAAGACTCGTAACAGTCAGTGGCATATCTAAGGGTCGCACACACCCTCCAAAAAAAAAAAAAAGTATGCACCCCCCGGTCTACCCATTGAATATCTTTGAAAAATAAAAATAAAAATCACTGTATCACCTTATTTTGCCAGATAGTGCCTCCAACATCAAGCTTTCGCACTTATCTTCGCTTCCCTACCTTCGCTTCCCCATCTCTCTTCCCCACCACTTCCCTCAATTCCTCTAGATATGCCACGTGAAAGTAACAATAAAATGTCCCTAGTGTAGAGTCATCGACAGTCTGATTGTGAACTAAAAATTAACATATTCAAACAACCAATTTGGAAAATGACTGTTTTCGTGCAGGTCCAAGGATTGTTTTTTAATCAACAAAATTTAGAATTGCTATTTTCGGAATCCTCCTAAATCAAACTATATATCTAATTTTATCAATACAGTACTGTCAATATACAGTAAAACCCCTATTCCCAAGTCGCCCGTAAGTCGCTGGAGCCTCTCGGAAATAGGGACGGCCTGATGCACTCCAGCAAGTATAATCTAAAGAAAATTAACCCATCTCCAGAAAATTCATACATTTGCATACTACAGTACTTTATCTTCAATTGTCTCATGGAAGTCAGTGCCGATGGTATCACCGTGCAAAGCAAAATAGAATTAAATATGCCATAAAAACATACTTAACCAGATCTCCCGAAAGAGATTTCTTCCAACTTGGGACGCTGCCTTTGGGATTGAAAAGTATCCTCTTAAGAGTGGTTTGCCGTAGTATTAAAAAATACATTACCTCACTTCACAGCCAAAAAAGTGTTTCCTTAATAAGGGTGTCCCAAACGAGGGTACTACTGTATTTATTCTTCTAAAATTATTAGTCAAACCAAGAACATTATTATTATTATTATTATTATTATTAATATTATCACAAATTTTTTTATGAACTGTTGCATCAGATAGTATTTCTTCAGTGTGAAATACACCAATGCTAACCCGTAAGTCTGAAGGCTAAATTTCAGTGGGGTCCTTCTGGCGGTGCAATAGGGAGCTTTCGATTTGTGTGACGGTGTGTCCGTCCTACCTGGCGTCCTACGTTCTCTGCATACGTAGATTTGGCCAAATTGCGTTCCAGAACCTACTTGACGAGGTAATCTTAACGTTCTCGCATGTGCAGATGACTTTTAGTGACGTTATTACATCCTACCGTCGTCGTGCAATCGAAAACTCCCTAATAATGCGAGTAGAACACCAGAAGACAATACCCCATTCTTTTCACAAGAGTACTAGTTAGCTATGTTCTTAAATACGTTTGTGGACCATATTGCACACAAAATAAACAATGCATACTTGAAACCAGTTTAGCCAACTGAGCTAGACTGTTCATTTGGTGTGATATGATCTCACCAGGCTCTACACGTCAGCTATGCAGTACGCCACATGTCCAGAGGAACACAAAACTGCGTAAATAAGCTAACTCGAAATTCTTAGAACTACAAAGAAATTAAGTCTGCATAAATTCTTATCTCTTGTGTTCGTGAATTTTAGAAATTGTCACTTTCCAACAAGTTTCAACAAAATTGCAGCAGAGTCCTCTACTGCTATCAGGGATATTTGATAACAATTTTATGAACACTCTTGATCAGTGATTACACTGACACCCGTTAAAGCCAACTCGGACAGTGTCCTACAACGTGATTTGTTGTTGCGTTGGGTCAGTGGAAGTTGAACATAGACATGATATGCTTCCACCTAGGACAGTCGTGTAGTACGAACAGATAACACTGTCACAAAAGACTGTCAGCGAAGATAATTGCATTGGGCTGCATTGTACAATGCTGTTTGAGTTGGACTTGTTATTATGAGGCTAAGGTCTAGAAAATGAAAACATTTAACTAAAGATTGCTTTCGCTTTATGCCTTCACCTAGCCTAGAAGAGTTCTTTCAACTAGAATATGTATGTTTATTTATCGTTTGAACAACTAGGCCTATGAATTAGTTGTACAGTATCTCTAATTCTACATGTATATTTAAATTCCTTAAATTTCTTGTTGGTATTAACATTGAAACAAGTGATTGTATCTGTGACTTTAATTAAATTCTTGATAATGTTTAAAAAACCAAGTTGATGATTGTAGATGAGAAGCTGGTGACATCTATTGAAAACAGCAAAAATTAAAAGAGCCAAGTGATCAGACTCCAACTGAAACCCAACGATGGCCAGGTTTGAACTAGGGTCTTTAGCGCAAGAAGCAGGAACAATACCTCTCAGCAAACCACTCAGCTGATATGACAATGGTTACAATTTATCCCCAATCGGGAAGGTTAACCCGGTTCAACTTTTTTGATCAGTCGGCGACCAATCAGGGAACCTTCCTGATTTTTTTTGGGGACAGCTACACGGTGTAGCAATTGCAATCGTAACTCTGTAGCGACAACATACATTAGTGATTTTACAAGACCATGCTGAGAGTACAGTATGGCTTAAATAATTTGTCGATTATATATGCTAATATGCGTCTTTTATGGCATTTTATATTGTGTTACTTACTCGTCTGTTCCAAATGCACTTACTTACACGAGTCTCATGCGCTATGTGTTACATTATCTGCAATGAAGGTCTAGCCATAGTATTAGCGCTTAAAATAAAATAGCATAAGAAGAATTCAGTGTCATAATTTTGTAGACATTTATTGTTTTTGTTATTTTTTATTTGTGTTTTATTGTATTATCTACACTCTAACATATATGGTACCACATATTACTAATACACACGATTAGGAAGTTTGAATGGACACTTGGGAACAATGTAAGGTCTAGGGCTAACTAGAACCAAGTTACCAGTAATTGTAGTATTGTCATCCTGATAACTAATTAGGAATCACCAAAAACGGAAGATACTAAATATAGCTTCCAACGTTGGCACTTACCTGATGGGGGATAACCTGGTGTAGGGGATGGATACCCAGGTGCAGTTGCTGAAGGATATCCAGGAGCAGATGGTGGTTGGTAGGCTGGAGGATGGGCTGGTGGATAGCTTGGTGGAGGAGCTTGACCTGTTGGGTATCCAGAGGGGGGGTGATGCTAAAGAAAAGATACGCATATCTTGTAAATTACGCTATTGGTTGGATTTTCATTACAAATAATTTAGTGTGAATGCAACAGCAAAGAGGATGGATTACAAGATGCATCCTTAAGGTGACATTTTCAGGTTTTTTGTGACAAATATTTGCTTATCTTAGCTGCTGCAGCGTTATGAAATACTCTGCCGGGGAGGCCTGGTTTCCATTAAATTGCTACACTGTCGTTACAATGTTTTTCAGTGCAATTGCTGCACTGCATAGCAGTCCCCAACACGAATTGGAAGGTTCCCAATTCAACTGACCATTCAGCATCACCAAAATCTGTCACAATAGTGTGCAGCGATTGTATGGAAACCACGTTTTAGTTTTCATTCCATAATCCAATGACTGGGGTAATGACAATATGAGGCGCATATCAGTTTTATCATAATGCACTTTAAAAGTCTACTCTCATTATTACTGTTATTATTATTATTATTATTATTATCATTATCATTATTATTATTATTATCATCATTATTACTATTTTATTATTATTATTATTATTATTATTATATGGGCATGATGACATGTGTAAATCACAAGTACTTGTCACATTAAACTTAATAATATAAACAGAGCATTATATATCTCTCTCCAATTAACATCTTTAAAACCATTCAAGCATCTTTTTTGGGCTCTCTTCATTTTTGCGTTCACTAAACAAATACTGTAACATTTCAATCTGAATCAGCCAGCAGAAATACAAACATCCTTATAACCAATGACATCAGTAGCATATCTACAGTAGGAGTACTGAAATGATGGAGGGAGTTGGCAGTGGTACTGACATAGGAGAGGGGGGGGGGGCTGATTGCTGGGTACATACAACTGGCAGATTAAGGTAATATGAGGCGATTTTTAAATACTTTAGCATATTTTTTCTTTGCTCAGCAACTCTCCTACCACCAAGGTGGGAGCAACTTGGGTGGAGGGGACAACCTTGGGGGGTGTGATCTCTCTGAGGGGAGTGCATCTCACCAAGCCTCCTGTAGATACACTACTGAATGAGATCTTTATTAAGTAGAAATGATGTCCAGATTATCAAATTTCATATAACAAAAAATGCGAAAATATGGTAATAGTGATATAGAACATAGGCAAGTCATGACTATATATAGACACATCATGACCATATATAGGCACGTCATGATTATATATAGGCACATCATGACCATATATAGGCATGTCATGACTATGTATGGGCACATCATGACTATATATATAGGCACATCATGACCATATATAGGCATGTCATGACTATGTATGGGCACATCATGGCTATATATAGGCACATCATGACCATATATAGGCACGTCATGACTATGTATGGGCCCATCATGACTATATGTAGGCACATCATGACCATATATCGGCACGTCATGACTATGTATGGGCCCATTATGACTATATATAGGCCCATCATGACTACTGTATATATAGGCACATCATGATCATATATAGGCACGTCATGACTATGTATGGACATTCAGCTGTCTTTTGTCAATAAACATTTGTTAATCTGAATAGAGCTTTACGTTAATTAACTTACATGAACCACGGTTACATGAGGGCTGTGATGGGGAGGAGGACTATGATGATGAGGAGGAGGAGAAGGATGATGATGATGATGAACTACCGGTGGTGGTACATGATGATGGGCCTTGTGGTGAGCCACGTCGGCACGGTGTCCTGCAGCTTCTGCCCGGTGGTGAGCGCCAGCGGCTCGTGCCTAGGAGATAAAAATGCGGAGTAACCGTCAAAAAATACAATCCGTCTACAGTACTTCTTTTAACTTTGCAAAATTTTGTTATACCTTGTTGTTTTCAAAGACTTCAGAGGAAAAAAAAATTAAAAATAAACTTTTATTTTATAATTTAGAAAACTGGTTCTACTATATATTGTTTATGAAACAAGGTATAAAAAAGTTTTGCTTTAAATAATAATTGTTATTGAATTATCCAGAATTTACTCAACTGTTGTATATATTGCAATTAAAAAACGGTCATTTATAGCTCTTTTTCCTGTAACTGAGATATTTAGGGTATGTGAAGATTTTTATTTTTATTTTTTTAGCTCCAAAACCAAAAGTTATCTGTCATTATACTGACTCAGGGGAAATGTTGTGATGCCTCCGAACTTTTTCGGCAGTAGTACAGCAGGCCCAATTGCGAATCCCATATTCTTTACCCAAAAGTGTACTGGGTTTATATTAACAACATGCACATAGGCCATGTTGTAAATAAGCTCTAATCTGTGTACTCCAAAAAACAAACTGTAGTTATGGTTTGTACTGCAACATCTTGCTTGAAATAATGGATTTTTGTTATTATATTATATGTAATTATATTTCACATGGAAAAAAAAAACTTTGAAGGAATTGAGCAAGGAGAAGCCACAAACTAAAGCAAAAAAAAAGGAACATAGCAAAATTCTTTACCTCCAATTTTGCTGCCTTTTGGAAGTTACCATGTATAGCGGCATTCACAGCTTTGTTGTGGAGGCGGTGTTCTTGACGTTCCGCACGGTGTTCTTGCTGTATGACATAAAATTTACAAATTTATCAGCCAAACTATAATGTCAATCTTACATTTTGAATTGTATTACTAATACGTTGGCTACCGATATGTAAACGCCTAAACTTAAAAATTATTCTTCTCACTCATGGCTACACCCCACACTATCTTTTTTTATCAATCTCACAACAATTATCTTCACGTTCCACAAGACAGTCAAATTCTCTCAGGTTATCTGTCCCCAGAGTACTGCATTTTCGTACTGGCGAACAGTCTTTCTCTTTTGCCGCTCGGAAATTAATCAATAACTCTTTTATCTTGAAGCGCCAGTGACAAAAAAATATTTTTTTAACCTCCACTATACAAATTCTCCAACAAATTCTCCAAGGATGTAGTGAGGGTGGGCGAGGCCACCCAACCTTGAAGTTTTCTACCTAGTCTAAAGGTAATTTCATGGCCCTCGACCCACACTTGTTAACCCACTTTCCAATTTCTTAATACACTCTTATTATCTATCACCTACCCACCCTTAAAATGTCTATCACCCACCTTACAAGTAGTTTTCTACAGCTAGATAAGGTCACACAGCAACCCTTGACTCATTTTCAGATAGTCCCTGAATACAAATGCTAGATAAATTGGTTTATTTTCAGCATTGCTAATTTTAGTACAGTATAAGCACCACCAATATTAGCATGGGGTAACTACAGTAGGCTATAGTGAGGTAATATAGTAGGCTAGGTTGAAGTCGCTAATATTCGACCTACATTACTTTTCGACCACTTCAGTTTTCGACCCCCCCATTTCCCGACCTCCAGATTTAATAAACACTGACCCTCGAACAAAAATTGTGTGTAAAAAACAACTTTTTTTCAAATTATGAATTCAAAGTTTTATGAAATATGATATTCCTATGGGAGAATAAGAATATGGTGTCATATTACAATGCAGATTAATTACCTTACAGTGGAAAAATCAAGTTTACATTTAGTATTCGAAAGAAAATTTAATTCTCAAAATGTTGAGATTGAAACATGGCCGCTATCACATGGCTACACTAGCAAATAAGGAAAGAGAGAGGTTACAGTAGGTCACAGAGCAAAGGTTGGGGTTATTATTTGACACGCTATGGTTAATTACTATAAAATTACTGTATATGTTGTTATTTTTGCGTACAGAATTTTTCGCAATTTCCAACTTTCTTGACATTTTCGCGTGTTGGTATTTTCGCGGATGTCATTAAAAAAAAATGTTACATTTTAGGCCTAATGTACTGTACTGTAGTGTAGCTACGATCACGATCTTTTTTGTTGTACGGAAAGCTTAAAAACGATGCGTAGGCTGCCTTTTTTTAAGTTGGCAAAGTTTAGGCACTGTACTAGTAGTAGTAGGGCATAGTATTACTGTCCCAATAGGGCTTAGTAGTTATTTTTGTAGGCCTACTGTACAGTCGTTAAAGAAATTGTTTTTTCCAGGTCTCAAACTACTGTACACCCGCGCTGAACATGCTAAATGCGGCGCGGCGTAATCCACCACGCGCTACAGCTGTGCTACCCAAGATTTCTGACCTATAATTTAGAAAGGCCTAGCTATTATGTAGGGCCTAGCCTACAGTAGGCTAGATAAGGCGCTAATACAGTTTCGCATCCAGCCCTGAAAACGTTACCAAATTATTAATAACTTACAATTTTTTAACACTATAACATGTTCTTTGATGATTTGACTTTCATATAAGCATAATAATATATTATTCCACAATTATGGTTTATAATTAAAGTTAATTAACCAATAATTAGGACGGTACTGTATAACGATAGTAACACTCGATCGCTCAACACAATCAACTCTGCTCCGCCTCACCATAATTGAGGACTGTCGAGGTTTCCAAATATAATTTGTACCCAATTGTAATTTTTGTGACCAATAAATGCGGAAACTTGTAATTTTTTGTTTTTTACAGTAGTACTGACTAGTATGTATTCGTAACTTGTATTGTTTTATATTTCGTAACTTGTATTGTTTTGTAGGTCGTCTCTTTTGTAGTATGTATTTTTCTTGATGAAGATAAAATAAAAGGGAAAAGTAGAATTAATATTTTGAGTGACATTCATACTATTTCCATCCACTGGCCCGCTTAACTCAGCGCCAGGGGTGGAGCCAGGGTTTGCCCAAAGGGGTAGGCGAGGTCCCCAACGAGGGGTCAGATTTCCCAGACGAGATCAAAGTGGGCGTGGTCTAGCTTCGATTAAAAGTGTTCGAAAGTGGTCCTGGGGGGGAGAAGCCCCCGAAAATTTTGACAATTTAGGGGCTTCAAAGGTTAATTTAATCGATTATATAGTCTACTAAAATAATTTTTTTTCTCCCCGATGAACTGTGCTCTTTCTCCCCGACGGGGGGGGGAAGCTCTCCCCGACGGGGGCCCCTGGCAACCCGCTCCCCCCCCCCCCGCGCCACCACGCTTAACTCAGCGCACACCTATGGCAACCACAGTATAATTTTGCCCTGATTCTGGCAACACCGCAAAGTTGATGACGTAATACAAAAAACCGGGTATTAAAATGGTCCACCGCGAACGAAGATGTTAATCGTCTTAATTAATGGTCAATTAACTTAATTAGAAACCATAATTATTGGATAAGTGGATAATTATGCCCTAGGCCTAGTAATACTAATATAGTATTGAATAATTGTAAAGTGTTAAATAATTAGTAATTAATTTTACGGCCGGATGCGAAACCGTATTACTGTCTATACATAGGCCGAGCCTACAGTAAGGGATTAGGCCTAGTCCCTCCTCCTTAAGTCCTAGCCTAGCGTATAGGCCTAGGCCTTCAGCCTAGTGTCCTAGGCATAGGGTAGCTTCTTGCCTTGGGCCCTAGGCCTAAGTAGTAGGTCCTCTAGCTAGGCTGTAGCATGGTGATAGATATGCATTCCATTTGAATAATAATAATCATGAGGAACTTAGGCTTACCCGTAACGCCCTATTCTCTTCTCTACGGTGATGATGCATATTCTAAGTTTTGATTCCTAAATTTAAATTAACGAGGTCCTTCTTTAACATTAGGAGCACGATGAATAAATGCGCCGAAATTGAATTGAACTTTGATGAAAGACACCACACTGCTCATCACGAGACCAAAATGACGATGTTCATAACTAAAAATAGAATCCGGATGACAGGCATGAATAGTATGGCACGCTAAAATGGCAACTCTTTAAATACTGCGTATAAAACATACTCCAAATAAAGTGAGACTAGTCATTGTGAGCCAGTCCACCCCCTATATTTTCAAAATTATAAAACAAAATTTAGAAAAACAGAAAATTATATTCAAATTTATCTCTGTGAATGCCACTTCTGGCTATCCAGAGGTGCCCATAATATTTTTTCTTACCTCAACCCCACTGTAAAAACAGCGTGGAGCATTTAAAAACAAAGCTCCATGCACGCAATGTTGTCCCCCGTTTTTGGTGACACGTTTAAAAAGCTAAAGGTGTTTAGACATAGCTTAATGTATTTAGGATCTTGACGTGTTTAGCATTAGATGTGCTTAGGTATTTGACATCAAGATGTCAAATACCTAAGCACAATTAATAATAAACACGTCAGAAACCCAAAGGCCTGACCTAAATACGTTTAGCTTTTAAACGTGTCACGAAAAAACAATATTAAATTATAAATGTTTATCATAATTATAAATGGTAAAATTTTTGTTTATTATACTTAATTTGATGTTCTTCTTTTGTGACACCCCGACTAGTTCCAACATGAATAATATAAATGTTTGTTAATTAATATTAATACAGTATCCACCGCAATTGTGAAGCGCCTATAGAAGCTACCAATCTGACGGCTTATCATTGAGTAAACTCAAACAATATTAATGTCAATTCTCAATATCTGACGTGTCGTCGAAGTGTCGTAATATCACAATCTCTCGCAATCAGGGCAGGAACACCAAATCCGGTTTTTGGTGGTTACAGTACCGTGTCCAGTACCAGTCAGTATCATGGTAATTTATGATAGTTCGTTCGGTAGGGCTCAAATCATAGAGAAAGACAATAATATTATACCCAGATCCAACCCAGTGGTGGCCCCAGCGGGTGTGGTGGGTGAAGGGGTGGG